TATATAGCAAATAAAATCCACAATAGAATATTTACGGACATATTTCAAGGGTGGAAAAAAAACAAAACAAAAACAAGGGTTTGCAAATTGGTGAAAAGCCCTGGGAAAAAAAACACCCTTCACTCATTCGGAGTGTATTCGATCAGCTCCAGGTTCCTCTGATTCATGGGGGCTGGCTTTAAAATGGAAGCATTCCCTTTTGCTCGTGAAATCGAGAGAATATACGGCTTCTTATGAGGCGCTAGGTCTCTGCGGTGTTGACGGTTATGTAAAATGAATTATGAGCTCAAGTGATCGTTCCGCGTTAGTGAAAAGTGTTTGCGGCTGTGTGAAAGCACGGTAAGGGTGTATTTTTTCAAAATAAAAATTTTATTTAAAGGGATGCTGGCCAAATTATCATGTATGGCTTGATTGGTAGTAAGTCATTAGTTTAGCTGGGAAACTTGCCGAGATGCAGAAAAAATACACCTCTGTAATTTGTTGACCTTTCATGGCAACATTTTCGATCGAGTGGGCGTGTCCATATCGGCCACTATTCACGGAAGCGATGCCATGAAAAGGACTCAAATACAAAGAATCGCAGATTGTAGAGCAACATCTTGCAGTGTTTTGCACAAAAAAGAACTATTGGTATGCACATAAAAAGGATATTTACGTAGACTTCCAGGAAAGCTGGTACACCCAAGGGAGCGTATTCCTGGTGATTGTTTACAGTGGCAAATAATTCTTACACAAGAAGAGAGACCAAAATCAAGACAAAATGTACCGGCATGCGCGTGCAAAATTCGTCATTTTTTTGTTTGTTTTTTTGTTTGTTTGTTTATTAGACTGCATGGACTGCCACAATGATTGTTGAGACTTTGCAAATTTGAACTGCTGGAAAGAAAGAGATCACCACGAAAAAATGTACAGTATCCCTTCAGGTTGACTATAACTGTTAAATGCGATACTGTAGGCCAAAGAGGAATTTCTTATTATTGCAGTGATCTTTTTTTTTTTTTTTTTTAACCCGGTTATGTCTTTAGATTGGGTGGCCCTCAAATAATATTTTGCATGCCTATAGAGTGACTATGTGAGTTTATGTGGGTGGCTCCGGTCCTGAATGACATCTATGAGGACTTGGCCCCTGGCCTCACGCAAACTGAGTTCCACTTTTTTTTTTTTATTTCACCAGCTTTATATTACATAATAACTAATCATGGAAATGTATCAAAGGATTCAGAATCATATGTGACTGGCTGTCAATCGGTCCAAGGTCTCCTGAAGTCAGGTGGGAGAGGCTCCAGCTAACCCGCAACCCAACTGACGATAATCGCTATAGAAGATGGATGTATTAATGATCGACATAAGTCATCTCCTAATGCCTTTTTGAGAACCAATATGGGAACAATAACAAAAACAAATATTACAACTGATAACTCTGAACTTCCTATTATCTTGGCCTCCGCTTACCAGCAGGTTATTCTGTCCATCCAAGATCCAGGAGAAGAGCTTATTCTCTGAAGAAGCCGATATACCCCTCCGACTTTCTGGGTCGAAGGTCAGGCACATGATAGGCTCAAGGTGGACTTTGGTTTGACTCAATATGGACCTCTGGGTTATGTCCCATAACAACAGTGATCCGTCCTCATACCCGGCCAGCAAGAGGGGTCCACGGCCTGATTGTGGCTGAAGGTGAGAGAGGATGATAACAGAGAGAGAGAGAAAGTCATTGAGGATTCAGCCTTAAAAGAATCTTCTTGCCAAAAATGGCCTCAACCACTACGCGACACTGGAAGCTGAGCAGAGCAGAGGTTATCTTTCTGGAAGCTTCTGCTGACACCCGCAGAGTCGCCGTGGGCGCCATTCATCAGGCTGCTGTTCTGTCTTAACATCACTCCATTACACCACTCCTCACTTTACTCCTCGTAAATATTACTGAGACATACTGTAGACCGTGTTATTGACTAACAAAAATAAAACATTTTCTCAAAAGTAATGTTTTTTTTCTTGAAGCATTTTGTTAATTGGCCAAATATTAGGAATGAGTCAATTTTAATTTTAACCAACAAGTTATCACTAAACACGGAAAAATTCATTTGGAAATAGTAGCTTCGCCTGTGCTGCTGTTATTCAATCAATTTGTTGTTGTTTTTTTTTTTAATTGGGAGCCAAAATTGATCAGATTATGAAAAACATGATGGTTGCAAGAATGTTTGTTGCCTATTTCCTTGCAGATGGAACCCATGTAATCTTCACAAATTGTGAATTCATCTCTATGTCAACATTTGGAAGAAAACATGTAGAACCGAATGAGCACAAATGCAAACGAGGCACATACTAGGCAAAGCTTGAAAGGATGATGAAGTGCTGCCCCGATGTCGTGGGCAGTCAGTGATAACCTCTCAGTGCCTCCTCCCTATTTTTTACAAACTAACAGTGTGTGTCGGCTGAGACAGGCACGGGGCTGGTGCAACGTTGCCAATGCACAGAGCTTGTATTATTCAGTTATTAGACAAAATCTCACTTAAATATAGAAGCGCAATATTTTTACATTTACGTGAAAACGAGGGCATGGGCTGCCTTCCACCAAGCGTCTAAAAGAATGATTACTGTCACTTGATTTATGCTGCTAATCTTTCCCCATTGCTTCCTGTTATTTGCATTCAGCCAGCAACCTTTTTTGATTTCATCCCTCCAGGATGAGCCTCTCACTGCTCTGTCAGTGCATTTGAGTGACCGCCTCAATATATGTCCATCCAACTTAACAGCTTGTAAATCCTGAAATCCACACCTGCATCGAGTAGTTCAACAAACGTAAGCTCACACGGACAGTTAAAAAAAAAAAAAAAAAACAGACGATTACTACAAGCACGGAGCGGCCAGGTCATACAGCAGATAAAGGCAGTTGAGCGCCATGTGCATCACATTAACCTCAATTCCTGAAGATATCTGTCTTTATCTGGCCTGATAAAGGTACTTCTTTAAAGGGGGAAAAAAAAAAAAAAAAGAAACTTTCAGCTTCACTAAATCACAATGGCGCTGTATTTTGTCTCATTAAGTTTTCTCTTCATTTCACGAGGAACATCTATCCGCCCTGCCAGCCCAACTCCACAACAGAGGCCATGTTGAAGTCGTAATTCATGGGGAGTTGAGATACTGTGGCACTTACAGCCTCGTCAACCTTTATTGCAGCTTCCCACTGAGTCTACTGTTCCCTTTACTGCAGATGTGTTTTTTGTTTGGTTAAGGGGCCTCCAAGGTTTTGATATTTTTATTACCTCTCAGGGGTCGTCCGTCAGGACCTGAGGCCCGGGTGCGCCACCCAGCAGTTCCCGGGCTGCCCACCCTCCAACTACTGCCACACAAAAATACTTCTGTGGGAGGAACTGAGCGTTGCTGTCTGGACTTCACACTGAGCTGCACTTAGAGGTTATTTAAAAGCCCCTGGTGGATGCTTTTGCTCTCCGTGTGCTTTTTTCCTGTCATCTTCATCCTGGATTACATACTGAATCAATATTTTGTTGCTCAAGCAAAAATAAACAACCTGATCATTCTTTCTCCTTTGGTATATAGCAAATAAAATCCACAATAGAATATTTACGGACATATTTCAAGGGTGGAAAAAAAACAAAACAAAAACAAGGGTTTGCAAATTGGTGAAAAGCCCTGGGAAAAAAAACACCCTTCACTCATTCGGAGTGTATTCGATCAGCTCCAGGTTCCTCTGATTCATGGGGGCTGGCTTTAAAATGGAAGCATTCCCTTTTGCTCGTGAAATCGAGAGAATATACGGCTTCTTATGAGGCGCTAGGTCTCTGCGGTGTTGACGGTTATGTAAAATGAATTATGAGCTCAAGTGATCGTTCCGCGTTAGTGAAAAGTGTTTGCGGCTGTGTGAAAGCACGGTAAGGGTGTATTTTTTCAAAATAAAAATTTTATTTAAAGGGATGCTGGCCAAATTATCATGTATGGCTTGATTGGTAGTAAGTCATTAGTTTAGCTGGGAAACTTGCCGAGATGCAGAAAAAATACACCTCTGTAATTTGTTGACCTTTCATGGCAACATTTTCGATCGAGTGGGCGTGTCCATATCGGCCACTATTCACGGAAGCGATGCCATGAAAAGGACTCAAATACAAAGAATCGCAGATTGTAGAGCAACATCTTGCAGTGTTTTGCACAAAAAAGAACTATTGGTATGCACATAAAAAGGATATTTACGTAGACTTCCAGGAAAGCTGGTACACCCAAGGGAGCGTATTCCTGGTGATTGTTTACAGTGGCAAATAATTCTTACACAAGAAGAGAGACCAAAATCAAGACAAAATGTACCGGCATGCGCGTGCAAAATTCGTCATTTTTTTGTTTGTTTTTTTGTTTGTTTGTTTATTAGACTGCATGGACTGCCACAATGATTGTTGAGACTTTGCAAATTTGAACTGCTGGAAAGAAAGAGATCACCACGAAAAAATGTACAGTATCCCTTCAGGTTGACTATAACTGTTAAATGCGATACTGTAGGCCAAAGAGGAATTTCTTATTATTGCAGTGATCTTTTTTTTTTTTTTTTTTAACCCGGTTATGTCTTTAGATTGGGTGGCCCTCAAATAATATTTTGCATGCCTATAGAGTGACTATGTGAGTTTATGTGGGTGGCTCCGGTCCTGAATGACATCTATGAGGACTTGGCCCCTGGCCTCACGCAAACTGAGTTCCACTTTTTTTTTTTTATTTCACCAGCTTTATATTACATAATAACTAATCATGGAAATGTATCAAAGGATTCAGAATCATATGTGACTGGCTGTCAATCGGTCCAAGGTCTCCTGAAGTCAGGTGGGAGAGGCTCCAGCTAACCCGCAACCCAACTGACGATAATCGCTATAGAAGATGGATGTATTAATGATCGACATAAGTCATCTCCTAATGCCTTTTTGAGAACCAATATGGGAACAATAACAAAAACAAATATTACAACTGATAACTCTGAACTTCCTATTATCTTGGCCTCCGCTTACCAGCAGGTTATTCTGTCCATCCAAGATCCAGGAGAAGAGCTTATTCTCTGAAGAAGCCGATATACCCCTCCGACTTTCTGGGTCGAAGGTCAGGCACATGATAGGCTCAAGGTGGACTTTGGTTTGACTCAATATGGACCTCTGGGTTATGTCCCATAACAACAGTGATCCGTCCTCATACCCGGCCAGCAAGAGGGGTCCACGGCCTGATTGTGGCTGAAGGTGAGAGAGGATGATAACAGAGAGAGAGAGAAAGTCATTGAGGATTCAGCCTTAAAAGAATCTTCTTGCCAAAAATGGCCTCAACCACTACGCGACACTGGAAGCTGAGCAGAGCAGAGGTTATCTTTCTGGAAGCTTCTGCTGACACCCGCAGAGTCGCCGTGGGCGCCATTCATCAGGCTGCTGTTCTGTCTTAACATCACTCCATTACACCACTCCTCACTTTACTCCTCGTAAATATTACTGAGACATACTGTAGACCGTGTTATTGACTAACAAAAATAAAACATTTTCTCAAAAGTAATGTTTTTTTTCTTGAAGCATTTTGTTAATTGGCCAAATATTAGGAATGAGTCAATTTTAATTTTAACCAACAAGTTATCACTAAACACGGAAAAATTCATTTGGAAATAGTAGCTTCGCCTGTGCTGCTGTTATTCAATCAATTTGTTGTTGTTTTTTTTTTAATTGGGAGCCAAAATTGATCAGATTATGAAAAACATGATGGTTGCAAGAATGTTTGTTGCCTATTTCCTTGCAGATGGAACCCATGTAATCTTCACAAATTGTGAATTCATCTCTATGTCAACATTTGGAAGAAAACATGTAGAACCGAATGAGCACAAATGCAAACGAGGCACATACTAGGCAAAGCTTGAAAGGATGATGAAGTGCTGCCCCGATGTCGTGGGCAGTCAGTGATAACCTCTCAGTGCCTCCTCCCTATTTTTTACAAACTAACAGTGTGTGTCGGCTGAGACAGGCACGGGGCTGGTGCAACGTTGCCAATGCACAGAGCTTGTAAATTACTTCAGTGAAAGAGAATATACAGGTGAGCTGATAAAAAAGCAGAGTTTCATATCTATCTTATGGGGGCGGACATGAGGGAGTGGAAGGGGAATAATCGGAAATAGAGAAGGAGGAAGGTACAACTTCAAGTATTTCACTATGAACCTGTTTTGCCAAAATACCAAAACAAAGAGCTCACAAAAAACACATTTTTACATCTCTCCATATGAGACATACTGTACGACTCCTTCACAGCACAAACGGGGGCCCACGAGCAGCAAATTTTTTCCATATGAGCCAGAAGGGGAAGATATTTTCATCCATCTTCAAGTCCTCCTCTCACTTAAACACAATATATTTCTCTTCTTCAACCTTTAAACAAATTATAGACAAGAGTCGTGTATTCCCTCCAAACACATCAACCAGGATGAACACGAAGGGATTAAGAAAACAAATAAAAACAAGTGAAAATCGGTGGCCCCTACTTGCCACCAGGGTCTGGGCTAAGCGTTCCAGGCTTGGGGCCCACCATTTCACTTAAACGTAGGACCTCCTTGATTGACGATCTTATGGGTCAGAGGTCAGGGAACCCTGGGTAGACACCTAATTCATTATATCCTGCACAGGCTTTTCTACATGAGGGCTCTCTGCTGGAATGGGGCTGAGGCTATGGGAGATGATTCATCACTGCACAACAGCTGGAAAGATGGATGGATGCTGACTGGTGCGAGACACAAAACAAAGTTACATTGGACTTCTCCAACAGAGCCTTTGCAGAATGTGTCATTGTTTTGAGCAACTGAGAAATGATTTGGAGATCCCTTTATTAGCTCTTCCAAGTGCCAAGCATGAATTCTAAGAGGTTATGTTTGAATTGATGAGTGTTGGCTCGTTGACTTATTCCTTAGTTATGTAGTCGACAGGATTGCGTAAAAAGCGACTTCTCTTCTAAGCTGATCTTTGCACGTAGGAGCTGTCTTTCGGGCTTTCACCAGCTAGTGTCCAAATCAAAGCGAAGGGGACATATGGAAAAGTGTGTGTTCTAAAAATCTATCTGTGAGGGAGCCATTCTGCACTTCTGCCCCTGTTTCCCAACAGTAGGGCTAATTAACATAATGACCACCCCCACAACAGAGTTTATAAGAGAGGCAAAAGAGTAACTTTGACATGTCTGTCTAAACACAATCATGTCAAAGCCAAATGGTAAGCACCTCTGCAGTGTTTGCACCACAGATATGAACATAGGTAAACAGGACACGCAACTTTTGAGCTGCGTGCCTATCGCGATGCTGAGCAAGGACGAGCAAACGCGTCAAAGCATGTGTGGACGGATGGATGGCAAGAAGAACGACGATACAGGACATTGTGCACAACATCATACAATTATAACAAGGAAACTCGGGATAACATTTTACATGTAAAAATAAAATAAAATGGTGATTTATTTTCAAATGTTCTGTAATGATTAGTGTTGGGGAGAACATCACACCAAAGTCAGCACAGAAGATGGCGGAGAAGATATTGTGAGACCATTAACAGTCATGGTTCCATCAAATGCAAAATATTCAAAATACAAGCAGGAACAATCCTAAGTAAAAGTCAGTATTTAGAATTGTGAACAATTAAGAGTCATTGTGTTGTTGAGCTGAATGAATGGAACATCAATGGCAGTATGCTAAATGGGGATCACTCTGATTGGCTAGCAAGCGCAAATCAGTCAGCCTCCGGTTTAGAAGGCAAGCGCTGGCCGATGACATCACGCTGCGGCAACTTTTATCGGACAAACTAAATGATGCCCCACTGAATAAGCATCTGGTGCGCTTCTTTATCATTTGCTTTTGTTCGTTCAATTCACCTTGAAACGTTTGTCTCCATGTAGTACCCATGGATCCAAATCCATCCATCTCTTGTAGTACCGATGATCAATTATACCTCATCCATTTATCACTATTATTCATTTGTTCGACCAATAATCAAATTTACTTCAATACAACCAAAAATACATAATCTGACTGATAATAGGAACACATTGGCAAAATACATTTAGCTTTCCGATGTGTGTAAATTAACTGGAGGAGGTTGCTAATTTTATTGATGGTTTACAGTCGATTTAATATATTGAAATATATAATTATGTTGCCGAACATTAATGACATGCAGCGGAACTCCCAGAGAGAGAGAGAAAAAAAAGGATGACTTCTTGCTAATAAAATTTAAAACAGTGAATATTATCTTTGGCTCCTTGAAGGAGCCTTGGCCTGACATTGGATGCGAAAGTGTCCTTCAACTCCCACACCGAATCCAATGCCAAGAACATTATTTTTTCATAAACTTGCGAAAGGTGAAAAATAAATCCTTGCTACTACCTCATGCTGAAAAACTACCCCGTACTTTTATGACCTTAAAGTGGCATTGACAATTAATACCGGTCATTCCATTAACATGCTGATCCAGCAAGTCTCGAAAGGCTTTCAGACTTCAATTCAATTAACTGGTCCAAAATGCTGCTGCTTGAATTATACTGACCAGAGCTAGGAAAATATGAAATATTTTTTTACAGGAATTGCTTCACCGAATAAGCATCTTGAAAAATGAAAAAGCATTAAAGGGTCAAGCAACATTGTCTTCAAAGAGCCTGTGGTGTCCTTTCATCAGACGGAATGTCTAAAATCAGTCTTCCGTGTTCACTCAGGGCTGACTCGGGCTTGTTCTAAGTTAGTGATTAGTTCTGCTCCGCTCTGATCCTCTCTTTCTCTACCTGTTCATTTCAACATTACCAGCTCTCGATCCCCATCGAGTAATCCCACGGATAGTTATGTGACAACAGGTGTTTGATTATTACCTTCGTATCCGAACTCCTACTTTTTTATGAATGAGGAAGGTGGTTTTACACCTGTGCACAATGATGGTTTGGAACTCCAAGTTCGTCTTCCGAGGCATTTGACATTGCCGCTTCCACTGTAGGCAATTACGGAGTCAAGGCTTATATGTGATAACTTAATAGCTGTGTTTCGTAAGTGTGGTAATAATTTAGGTTTTTTTGGCACAAAAAACATCGGCTTTGGCTTTTGCAGTTTTGATGATAGCCCAAAGCCCAAAATAAAAAAAAAAGCAAAAAAACTAATTAAAAAAAACAAAGTACAGAAGACTTGTGACATAAATACTAGATGCTAATGGAAAAAATTGTGGTAGATTGTTTTAATGGATATATGTTATCATTTTTTCATTGTTATACAATTTAAAACAGTTTCCTGAGGTCCAAACATAGTGTCTGTTACATAAAGTAGTTTCATCAAAATACCCCAGTGTAGAAACTCAGTGCGGGAGTTTCCACAATGTAATAATAAACGGAAATTCAGATTGCCATATCGAGCCCCATTTTGGTAGATTGGCCTCCATGTGCTTGGCATAAAAACGGGCGTCATTTCATTTTCGTGCTAGCACAAGTCTAGTCTACCGCATTTGGCGCCGTGTTTAATTGAACAAAGACAACTGCACTTCTTGAGGGTATTTTTGAATAGACCCAATTTCTCGCCTTTCATTACAGTAGCGAGAGGCACAGTAAAGCTTACATTAATTCCATAGTGTTCGTTTACCAGTATAAGTTTTGAATTGTCATGAACCTATCTGTATTCCTTTTTATTTCAATGTAAAATTAAGTTTTGGTGTTAAAATGCATCTCAGTGTTTTTCAGGATTTTTCCAGGATATTTTCAACTGTGACACTACAAGTCAAGTTATCACAACACACACACTTATGACACATACACACTAAATCCGTTGCGAGCGTTCCGCCTCGCTTCGCTACAGTTTGACCGCGCTAGTTCCTGTTCATGCAGCACCCGGAAAAAAAGGAGTTTGATTTATACCCATCTCTTCAATCGACATAATCCTTAATGTTGATGAATAATTGACTGATTTATATCACGCAATACCATTTCCTGTTTTGTTTTGTTTTCGGTTTTTTTTTGGTCATTAAATAAATGTTTGATACATGACATTTACACATCAGTCAGGTAAGGCCCCGACGTCATTGTATCCTGCTGCTGCTGTTACTGTCAGGAATCATCAAGGGCTAAATGACCAGCAGCCTGTGTACTATTGTGGCGGGTAGAGGCCCAGCGTGGCACTGTTCCAGCATAAGGAACTAATCCCTTTCCTTGGGATCGTGTCCACTATGTTGTTCCTGGCTAGGAGGCATCAAGGTGATGAGCTGAGAGTGATGGATATCAGTATAGGAATATTTCCTTTTACTCGCCAGCCTGTGTTCATAACAACAGCCTTGCAGATCATACATCATTACTGTTCCCCAGGCCGAGCTGAGCCCTACATCACAAGTGAAGTCAAACCCACATGTGCCGGCACTTTCTTCCCACACTTTTCAAAGCTCTCCCTTTCACAGCAAATCAGAGGTAAAGAGTAAGTTCGGTCAGCTTCACGATGAGGCTGAGAGTTTTACAATGAGGCTGGGAGGGTCCTTTTTGAAGGAACATGGAAGGCAGATCAATGTGCGATTACCATGTTACCTTAAAATAGTAAAAAGTAAGCTTTCAGGAATCTTTTACTGCAGAGGTCTATAATATAGGTGAACCAGAACATCAATTCCAATGAGATGTCTGTCATGCGAGTGCAAATATTATGAGTATTCAAATGATTACAGTCCGATTGAGTATTGCTGACCTGACACTGTCATTTTCAATAAATAAAACATTTCTTGTAATTTAAAATGACACTTCACTGAGATGGGGCCCCCTCACCTCCCTGTTACTTGGCTCTTTTAAGGCAATTCATCTCTGTTGAGAGGACCTTACCCCCCTCCTGCATCTAAATCCACACTGCCAACAAACTATATAGGAACAAAATATTAGCATACGCCCTGAGAAGTGCGCATGTGTGTGACATGCATATTACAATGTTTTCAGGTGTACAGACCCTTTCCCAAAAATATGAATATCATAGAAAAGTTGATTTATTTCCATAATTACATTAAAAAATAACTTTCATAAATTGTAGAATTTGACAAAATTTGGGCTTCCAGCGCGAAAAAAACGCATAAAAACAGTAATTTGAAAAATCGGAATAATGTGGACACATTCGCTCAAATGTTGGAGTGCATCACATCAATGTTTTAAACTGAGTGCCACAGGTGGCATTACATTGCTCTAGTTTGGTTCAATTTTCTCAGACCATCAGTGATACCCTCCTTAGGATGGGTAAGCCACAAAAGTTCATAGCTAAGTAGGCTGGCTGTTCAGAGTGCTAAGTCCAAGCATATCCGTGGAAAGTCTCGAGGAGGGGCAAAATGTGGCAGGAGAAGATGCACCAGCAAAACGGATGACTGTGGGCTTCAGCTTATTATCAAACTGAGAAGATTCAAGAGTCTGCCAGATATCCAGAAAGAGCTGAATGGGTTAAGCGTCACCGCTTCAAAGCCCACCAATTTCAGATGCATCCGGGAAATGGGTTGCAACTGTCGGATTACTTGGGTCAAGCCACTTCTGAGCCTGCGGAAGCGTTTCAACGGGGCCAAGGAGAAGAAGGACTAGACTGTTGGCCAGTGGTCCAAGGTCCTCTTTTAAAGTGTGCCTTTCATTCGAGAATCAAGGCCCAATGGTTTGGAGGAAGACGTGTGGGGAATAGAATCCAAGCTGCTTGACGTATGAAATATACGCAATCAGTCAATTTGGTGGTGAGTTAATTAAGAAGAGAACTGATTCACATAGAGTGTGTGTGTGGTGAAGAGAAAGCACAGAGAAAGAGAGACAGAGAGTGAGTGAGAGAGGTATTGCGAGAGAGCAAGAGAGAAAGAGAGAGAGAGAGAGAGAGAGAGAGAGAGAGAGAGAGAGAGAGAGAGAGAAAGAGGGAGAGAGAGAGAGAGAAAGAGAGCGTGCAAGAGAATGTGGTAGAGAGAGAGAGAGAGAGAGAAAGAGAGAGTTATTGCGAGAGAGTGTGAGAGAGCAAGAGAGAAGGAGCGAGAGAGCTAGAGAGAGAGAGCGTGAGAGAGAATGAGAGAGAGAGAGAGAGAGAGAGAGAGAGAGACAGAGAGAGAGAGAGAGAGA